TGTGTCTCCGCCACTGACGGTCGGGGAACCTTCAATCCACCATCCGTTCGCCGAATTGGTGGATTGGAAAAAACAATTTGTATCCGTCTGCCGGATTGGCGGATGCAGATTGGGCGGATTGACGAATAGATACAAATCGGTTTGACGGTTTAAATTTTTACAAATTTGAAGCATAATACAACTCGTCAACATTTTTTTTGGGATAGCAATCCAACTCAACATAACCAAAAGATTATTAAGTAAATTGTCAAATACCAATAATAAATACATATAAGAAAACCATATATTATCAAAACTATTTCATTACTTTTTTTTATTCAAAAACTATTTCATTTGATTTTTAAAAAAATGACAAAATTAAGCCTTATATTTTCCACACAAAAATATCAAATATCAACACTTGTCATTTGATAAAAGGATTTCCAAATTGAAAACACAATAGAATATCTAAATTCTTTTTCAATTGAAAAAACAAATAGAATATCTAAATAAATTGAAAATACAAAGTCTTATAAATTATTAGGAGTGTTCGCGGTTTGGCAGTTCAGTTGCGGTCAAAAAAATTTTAAATCTGTCATCCGTCGAAAACTAAGCGGATTGGACAAAAATCAATCCACAACCACCTGCTTATCATCACGCATCTGTCCAAAATGCGACGGATTAGTTCGGTTTGTGCAAATCGAAATATCCGCTGAGCAACCCTAATAAATATGTGGTGCAAGTAGAATTACCCTTCTCAAACCAACCCTTAAAATATCTATTTTCATTCAGTTTAATGACTAAAATATATTTTTTTGACAAATTTATTTAATGAAAATAAGCAAATAGTTTGAATTAAAAATAAATTAAAAGATTGAAATTTAAATTAGCAAAATTAAAAGTTCAAGATTTATTTTATTACAAAATTTAAACCTGAAGATTTTTATTATTATAATTTTAGAAAAATATTAAATAAGTCATTTTTTCTGATGAAAGTTCTATTAGGAGTAAGTTTTATTAACACTATGGTGAGAGAATTGATTAATGGAAATTTTGTTAGCAAAGTAAAATTTATTTGATTTCTCTAAAATATAAAATTTTAAAAACCGATAATGGTAATAAAAGACCATAAAAAATCATAAATAATTGAAAATTTAAATAAAACGAAGAGCAAAAAATGGGGATAAATTATATTCAAGATTTGAAAAAAATATAATTAATCTCACTTTTTTGTATATATAATTACATTAATCTTCTTTTTAATATGATTAAACCTACCAAAATTAATATCACTAATAAGAAAATATTAAAATAAATAAAGATAAATATACATTTTTATTAAAAAAAAAACAAAAAACAAATGGGTGATGCTATTTAGATTAAAAAAAAAATTAGACTCTTTTTCAAAATTCATTCTATTAGAATATCTACTAGTTAACTCTCTCTCATTTTCATTTATTCTCTAATTATTAATTAATCATCTCATTTATATATTATTAGATCTAAAAAATATATCTAAAAAACAGACTTGTATATTATTTTTCAAAAGAAATAATCACCATGTTTGATTCTAGAAAATCAAATTTACTTTTCAAAAAATTGAGATTTTTGTTTTTTATATTTTACACATTTTTTTTATTTTTTAGATACACCTAATTTAATACACTTAAAAATACTATATTTATGAAGAAAAAAAACTTTAAAAAATTCACCAAATACAAAAAATATATAAAAATTCAATACATTTTTGAATTTCTTTATACTCAATAATTTTTTTAAAAAAAATTTGTACAAATTTTTTACTTTTTAAGTAAATTAAGATTAAAAGAATCTAATTTTTTTTTTAAAAAATATTAAAATATCTAAAAAATCATTAAAAAAATACCACAATTCAAATTGAAAACCCAAAAAACTAATATAAAAATTAGTATATCAAAATTATTGATAAAAAATGGTATAAGAGCATCTCCAACCCAATCCTCTCACCAAGAGGATGGAAATAATTTTTTTTATTCAAAAAGTAAATATAAGGTGTGTTTGATTGGACGGACTGGATAAGGGGGGAATAGAATCCATCGGATTTAAATTTTGGGACTATGAATCCCCCGGACTATTTGATTGGATTGGATATGTATCATGTGTTTGTTTTTTTTCATATGATTAGATGTCTGGAAAGGACTATTTTTAGTGAATCTAATGTTTGGTTGGACGGACTGGATATGATAAATGAACAAAAGACTATTTTATCATTTTTTAATTATTTACTAAGTAATAGCAATATTAAACATATCTTTAATATTTTAATTATTTTTAGCTAGATTAAATAAAAATTTATTTTATTTTATTTTTTACACAATTAAATAAATTTATTTAAAATAAAAAAATAAAATATCAACAGAAATATATGTTTTTTTAAATTAAATTTTAATAATTTTTTTAAAAAAATAATAATAATAAACAATGAAATTAAAATAAACATCTATTAAATTTAAATAATGAAATTAAATAAAATATAAACAAAATTTTAAAATAAAACATCAATAAAAAGTTAAATAAAATTATTTTATTTTTAAATTGAGACATTTAAATTTTATTGAATTTTATTAAATATAATATATAATTAAATAGTAGAGGGTCAAAATAGTTATTTTACCACTTAATCTCAACTGTGGATAGTCCCGCAAAAATTGTCCCATACCCCCCAGGATACAATAGTCCCCCATATAGAGGATAAGGAGTCCAGTCGGACTCCATGTCCGGCGGATTAAAAAAAAAACAAACAGCGAATAAGGAGTTATCAATGGATTACAATCCAAATAGTGGATTGTGCCCCCTTAATCTGGCGAATCAAACACTCCCATAGAGTATGTCATTATTCATTTAAACTCTAACCGCAAATCTTCACAACCCTTCATTTTCTTTCGGATTGGGTGTTACTGGACGTCCGCCTAGAAGTCCGGCCGGCCAACAACATTTTCTTTTTTTAACTTTTTGGGCATTTTTTCTTAAACATTAATAATCATTTTCTTCTCTAAAGATTTCTCTTGAAAATATTTTTATCAAAAAATAAATAATTTTTGTTCATTAACAAATATTTAATTTTGAAATTTTTGTAAAATATAGCCTCCGTTTGGAAAGTGGGTTGGCTTTTTGAAATTCATTTTAAAGTTATAATTTCACCCTTTTTAATGATGTCAATTTTATAAAAATTACATTTACATATTAAAAGTTATTTGTAATATAATAAATAAATATAGAATGAATAGTGTTATAGAGATCATCATTTAATTTTCATACTCCCTCTATATTTGAAGGATGAAACATTCATCCTCCCAAATGGAGAAGAATATAGAGGATGGGTTGGAACTGAAATTTGAGAAAGAATCCTTCAAATTTGAAGATATAGAAGCTTGGTTAGAGCATCTCCAACACAATACTTTCCAACAAGAGGATGAAAATAAATTTTTTTATTCAAAAAGTAAATATAGAGGACATCACTATTGATTCAAACTCCAATCACAAACTTTCATTTTCTTCCGAATGGATGTTATCTACCGCAATTTTTTATTTTTTATTTTTTTAACTTGTTGGGTATTTTTTTTAAACATTAATCATCATTTTCTTCTCTAAAGATTTCTCTCAAAAATACTTTCATCAAAAAGTAAAAAAAAATTGTTCATTAACAAACATTTAATTTTGAAATTTTTTTAAAATATATTTAATATTATACTCATTTTAGAGGTATGATTTCATACTTTTTAATGATGCCAATTTTATAAAAATTAAATTTACATATTAAAAGTTATTTGTAATCCAACAAAAAATATAGAATGAATAGTATTTTGGAGGGAATCCTTTATTTTTCATCCTCCCTCTAAATATGGATGATCAACTCGTCCTCCTTCCAAATAGAGATGAATTTAGAAAATGGATTGGAGGAACAAATCCCTTATATTTGAAGTTATGGAGAATGCATTAGAGATGCTCTAAGGCTCCGTTTGTTTGGAGAATTAGAGGAGGGATTAAAATTGATAGTAAAGTAAAATCTATTAAGCCTCCGTTTGGGAAGTGAGTTGACTTTTTAATTTTTTGACTTTTTTTGACTATTTGAGCCTGAACTCAAAAGTTTGGCTTGGAAAGGACTTTTTGGTTTTTTGACTCTTTTGATTTTTTTTGTGAGAGAAGAGTGTAATGATTATGAGTTTAATGTGATATTTTTTCTGTTGTGACTCAAATAGTCTATTCTGTTTTTTGTGACTTAAAGAGCCAAATGAACCCAAATGAGTTCTTCCCAAACGACACCTAATATTGTGTTTGTTTTAAAAAATAAAGAAGGTATTAATAATGAGCTCTAGAAGATTCGGATGAACCTCCATCACTTGATATTAGAAAAATAATCCAACAAACTAAATTTTGTTTTTAATTTATTTTTTACATATCAAGCATTTTTTTAGCATTAATGTTTAATTTTTTATATTTTTTTGTTAAACAAAAATTATTATTTTATTTGTTTTATTTTTTTCTGAAAATTTTTTATTTTATTTTTATTTTTAAAATTTTTTTTACATGTTAGATATTTTTTTTAAAACATTAATATTTAATATTTTTTTATTTTTTTATTATTTTATATAAAAATAATTTAACAATCTCTACACTAATAACTATCATCAAAACAAACATAATTTTATTTAATCCCCTCACTAACAATTCTCTCACTAATAATTCATTCCATTCTACCTCAGAAAACAAACGTAAAAAAAAATAAAAAAAATAAAAAAATAAAAAATAAATAAAAAAAAAGTACAACATTTATCGGCACAAGGTATCGGCCTGGGGGATTCTTCTGCAAAGATTCTAATCCAGGGGAGTTTTGCATATAAACCCAAAAAATCTGAAGAATTACTAAAAGCTCACGCTCACAAGGAGTGTGTGTGGAATACGCTCTTCACCATTTTCGCCATCCTCACAGACCCATCAAAATCATCATATTCCATGAACACACATCATCAATCAAACCCATCAAAATAAAATAAAACTCGATAAAATTACATACTTATATACTTTATTAATTAATACTACAAAACACTTCACTGATATTTTTTTTTTTTTAAAGAGAAAATCAAGAAGATGAAGAATCGTGTCTGGGAGAGTGAAGAGGGAACAAAGGCAAGAGCTCAGGTTCAGAGCCGCCTCGGGGTGTACTGAGTGGACTCGGATGAAAATAAAACCCCTTTTCCGCAATCGCTTTCTCTTCTTCCTCCGACGGCGTCCTCGGGCTCCCACGTGCGAAGAAATCCAGAGTCGACACGGGCGACACCATCACCATCATCTCACCTCCAAACCCTAGCCCACTCCTTTGCCGAGTCGACCCGGCTGTAACCGAGTCAACACAGTTGATGTTATTGTTGTTGTTGTTGAGTTTGATTTCGAGCTTTCTGGCAGTCTGTCTTCGTTCGTGGAGCTTGAAGGAAGATCGGCGAGGACCGATGGGGAGGGAGAGGGGGAGTTTGGGTGTGGAGGGGTCTAGGGGAGCTCCGGTGAGTCTCTGGACAACGGATCGGAAAGTTGAGGGGTCGGCTTGAACGAAAGTGGTGTTGGTTGATAGAGTGGGGTCGAAGGGTGCGGAGAGTGAGGGTGGTTGAGATGAGACATTGTTGTTGGTGATGTGGGTGTTAGGGTTAGAGGAAGAAGAAGAAGAAGCCATGAAAGAGACTTGGAGGAACGGTGGTGGTGGTGGTGGTGGTGGTGGGAGGAACAGAGACTGAAAAAGAAAGCGGGAAGAGGGGGCATCAAATGTGGGGTTTTTATTCTTGTGTTTAGAGAGAGAGAGAGAGAGAGAGAGAGGTGGGTTTGTTGCTTCTGTTTTTTGTTTGTTTTTTTGGTTTGGATTCCCGCTCACTCGCAGTGCTTTTAGAAAGAAAGAAAGAGATTTTTATTGTTATTTTGGAGACAAATAAAGTGAAAGAAAATATATATTGTATGAATTTAATTAGAATAAAAATTTTGTAAAAAAATAAAATTTTTAATTGTAAGTAACTATTTTTATAATAAATTTATTTTTTTTTTGTGTTTTTTATAAGAAATTGGAAGTTTAGTTACCATGCTATTATGAACTGTACAAGAAAATCAATTTTCTTGTACCTTCTACCATTTTTATGTTATTTTCTTATGTTTTTTACCAAAAAAAAATTATTTTTTTCCTTTTTTTTATTTTTACTTTCTACCATTTTTATCCTAATTAAAGGGAGCCTTAAGAAAAATGTTATTTACTAGTATGAATTTTTGTATTGAAAATTATCTTAAAAAATTAATGGAAGTGTTTGGAAAGAAGGTCAAGCTAAAATAGCTCATTAAAAGATAAAATAAATTTAAATAGTTAATAAGATAAAATATCACATTTAACTCATAATCATTTTATTTTTTCTCTCACAATCATCAAATTAAATATAAAAAAAATTCAACCAACTTCTTAAATACAATTATTTTAGCAAGACTAACAAAAAGCCAAATAGCCAAATTCCCAAACAAGGCCAATAACTGTAATTTATAAAAATAAAAAAAATTAAGTTAATTTGATAATTATAATCTTTTTATTTTTTGATATTTGTCTATAAAAAATAGATAATTTATTTTAAAATTACATGTGTTTAAAATTCACCTCATCACAAAATCACTTGCACTCTCAATTTTTTTTCCTATTCCACTGTTAAGTAATTTCTCCATTTCTGATTCCACTCTATTGTTATTTCTAGTTTTCATATAGAGTTTGTTTGAAATTGATTATTTTTATAAAAATAGTTGTTTTGAAAAGTTAGTTAAAAGTTGATTTTTTAATTTTTTTTTTAAAAATGTGTAAAAAAAATGAAAATAATAATGTAACCTAAAATAACTTAAAAGTCAAAAAGTAATTTTTTACTATCTTCCAAAAAGAGACCATAGTCTTACATAAAAATAAAAAGTGTGATTTGATCATTTATAAATTAATTATTTTAATAATTTTTTTTGTAAAAAATCATAAAAAAAATAAAAAATGTGATATGATAATTTATAAAGTAATTTATTAACAAGCAAGATGTTGGTATAATTTTGGATAAACTACACTAAAAAAAATTATATAGGTACTTAAATAATAAAAATAAATAAATTTCCCACTTGGTATTTACTAAGAATAATGACTGTTATTATTATTATTAAGTGAAATATTAATATAATTGATAATCTTATTTTTGGATATGACTTATTTTGAGGAGTATGTTACAAATTAACTTTTTAATTTTTTTTAATTTTTTTGTAAAAATTAAAAAGATAATACAACTTTAAAAAATTAAAAAAATAACTTTTTAATCGTTCCCAAAATATCTCTGAGAAAATGGTTGAAAAGTTTGAAAATTTTGAAGAAAGGGAGCTCAAATAATAATAATAATAATAAATAGAATAATGCTTGGGACCCCCTTTTGGGGTCACCTCTCACCCCCTTTGCCATGTGGCAGGGGTGATTAGAGGAGCAGGAAAAAAAAAAAAAAAAAAAGGTAACCAATGAGAGAGAAGGGATCAAAGGGGTGGAGAAAAGAGGAATGAATCATTACTCTAATAAATAATGTTTGAAAGAGCTGGCAATGAATGATGATTCATGCGGAGTCAGCGGGGCATTGAAACAGGAAACGAGGACGGCAGAGAGAGAGAGAGAGAGAGAGAGAGGAGACTTTGCAGAGAGGAGAGAGAAGGAGTCACAGATGGGTCAGACAGACCTGTGTTGTGTCATGTGTGCCTTCTGTCTTTTTCTCATAGTAGAAATTATTGGGCAAGCTTGAAATATACTTCGTGTAATTTTTTTTTAAAAAAAACAAAATTTAAATATCTTAATTTTTAAATAATTATTTTTTTATTTATTTAAATTTTAAAAAAATAAAATTTAAATATCTCAATTTTTAAATAATTATTTTTTTATTTATTTAAATTATTTTTACCTTACTGTGCTACGCTTGGAGACTTCATAAAAAATCAAAAACATATATTTTTTTATTTTTTTATATATCTTTTCAAAAATAATAAAAAATAAACAAATTCCAAACACCTTTTAAATAAAAATTGTACCATATACTAAAAAAATTAAGTAGGTGTTTGGGGTGAATTAAAAAATTGTAATTTTTTTTATCTACACACATTTATTTGGGTCACATCAATCAACTTCTCCTCTCTGTTTTTCTAATCACTTTCTTTATAAAAATTCAAAAAATACATTTTTTTAGAACATCTCAAACAGGTGGAGAAAGCAATTCTCTCTACAGGGGTGATTCAGATTTAAATTTTGGAAATGTGAAAAATGGTTAGATTTTCAGCTGGCACTCTTTGAGATTTCGCACTGTTTTGCGTTCGATTTTAGGCTCTTTTGCCACGTGTGACTGAACTTCATTGATGTCTCAATAGTAGATCCTTTCTTATGGATTAAATTAAATCTGGTTAGCAACTGATTAATCTAGGGTCAGGATTCACGAATACAATGACGACACCACATAACATCTTTTTTTTTTGTTTAAAAAAAAAAAACAATATTGGTTATCATTTTTCAAAAACACTTTTCAGAAAATTCTACTTTCTTATTTTTCGTATTTTTTTAATATTTTGAGCAATTTTTTTAATTTTTAGACATAACTAACATAAATATACCTAAAAAGTAAAAAAAATTGAAAAAACCCTTTTAAAAATTCACTAAATACCAAAAATACAAAAAAAAAAAATGCGAGAATTCAGTACATATTTTGTATTTTTATGTATTTATTAATTTTTAAAAATATTTTTTCACAAATTTTTTACTTTTTAGATACATCTAAGTAAGGTGTATCTAAAAAAGTATAAAAAATGTTTAAAATTTTAAAAATATTCACTAAAAACAAAAAAATACGAAAATCAAAAAACTCAATTTTCAAAAAACTTAATTCAAAAAGCTCAAACCGAACACACTGAATATATTTTTATTTCTTTTGCATATTTTTATCCACAAGCAACAAAAAATAGTGTAACATTAACGCTAATTCAACATGAAAAAACCACTCAATCTAACGTGAACATCCCTTAAAAAAAAATTTTCTGGTCGTTTAGAATTATCATGTGACTATTGTGGTTAACTTGAATTTTTTATTAAATTAATTATAAAAAGATAAAATAGATTAAAAAATTAATAAAACAAATATATTTAATTAATAGTGTTTTGTGATCTTTCATACTATTTTTATATGGATTATGCCACTTGATGTGGAGTTAGTAATAATATTTTATTTCATTTAATGAGTATTAAAAGTTGTTTAATTTTAAATAACAGATAAAAAAAATAGAAAGTTGTTAAATACATTTAATTTTTTTTTTAAGAAAGAGAATAAACCTAATTTAATTAAGATTTTTGTTAACATGTGCCCTAAGGACTATTAAATAGGTACAATTATTTTCACTAGTATAGGAAGTTGTAAAAACTTAAAATGTTGTTTAAATTAAGGGAAATTCTACTTACATTACGAAACTATCTCCTTACACTTTTAAAATTTTAAATTTTTATTTAATTTTCTTACAATTTTTATAATATCATTCCTACCCTCATCCCTAGCATTCACTTTTCTCCTCACACTTAAACGTTTCAAACCGTAGTTTTTTCACCTCTAACTAATATAGCCACTGTCGCCGTTTGCAACCGTTGTCGCCGACCACAACATCGCCGATGCCGCCATCACCATTACCATCTACAACTATCGCCGTCGACCATCACCATACAAGCCTTCATTGCCACTATTGCCACCTTGAAAGCTCTCTGTCATAACCCAAACCTGCCCTTAAAAGTTTGGACCATAACCAGCCAGCTATCCCTCGATGACCTACAGCTTCATTCAGAATACAAAATAGTTTTAATCACGGGGCCTAAGCGGAAGCAATTTACATAAATATGACGTCTATTGAGCAATGCTTAAATGATCAAGTTATGCCATACCAATATACATATTATGACTTACAAACACAACTTAGGTACACTGAACCCTTCATCATTTAATTACAAGTTTACAAAACCATTTTATCAAAAACAAACAACAAAAGGCTTTACAAAGACTTAGCACCAAGAAGTCAACAAAATGCCATCAAGTAGGCTCGACAAGACAGGTTCACAAAAGCAGGTTGTGGGGTTGACCTTAAGGCTGCTCTTCGTGCTGTTCACCTATATACATATAACATATAAAGTGAGCGAAACTCGGTGAATAATAGTAAAGTGGAGAGATATAAATGAATATCTTTGTATGTAAATAAAACACACTAACAAAATACAACACTTTTCAAGTTGAAGCATTTATGCCATTACCCATTTTACATTTATAGAATGGCCTCAAGCCCACACTTAACAGAACGGCCTTAGGCCCAACATAGAACAAAATAGCCTCGGGCCCACATAACACAGAACGACATTGAGCTCACATATAACATATTTCGATATCCAGAACATATAGCAATCATAAATTCGGGGAATAATTATAATCTAATTACAATACTATTACAGATTTCAATTAATTTTGTTAATTAAAAAATTCTAACAATTGAGTATTTGTAATTTTTTAAATCATAGGAGGTAATATGTATTTTAAGTAAAGCTCAAGTCAGGGGATGTATTTGTTATTTACCCTTAATTTATTTGTTCAAGGGAAAATTACATTTTACCCCTCTAAATTATTGTCACGTTTCACTTTACCCCCTTAAACTAAAAATTATAACACTTAACCCCTTAATCTGTTAATTATTTTCAATTTAGACCTTAGTGAAAAAAATACCCTTTTAACTATTGGAGTAAATTACACTTTATGCCCTTAAAATGTCACTCAATATCACTCTAACCCTCAACTAAAAAAATGTTTGA